GTGCGATATAAGGGTGATGGTTAAATCCCACTATTTGATTAGACAAGAGTAGCCTAAGTGTTGGCAGTAGGTGTGTCGGTCTATTAGTTCAAAATTAGGGAGTAATATCGCATATACTCCTTGAGTAACTTATTCGCAAGGATGGTAAAATGTTTTCTTTTTCACGACTGGAACAAGAAGACTAACAGGTTTTTTCTATCTTTTTAGCTGCTTTAATGTATGTTAATTTATAAGAAAACATTCTTTGTGCATTGTTTTTGTCTTGAAGCTAAATTCTAGACAAAACTGAAATAAGAAATTATTCTTTTAAGAGTAACGAAACTGAACACTTAGCAACATTAAAACTTGCCTTCAGATATTTGATCTCAAACCACGAAGCTTATATTGGGATAATACCAAATAACTTATATGTATTTTCAACTCTAAGGTTAATTAATATTTTCTCTGGTGTGAATAGACGATTATTCATAAATAACTCAACATTTTGTAAGCATAAGGGATCACATAAAGTAAACTTGTATAACAGTAATGAGGTATATAAAAGTAAACTTGGTTTAGTTTGACATAAAACATATAATGTGACTTGGTTCTGTTGGAAATAGAACATATAATGTTACTTGGTTCCGTTTGAAATAGAACATATAATATTACTTGGTTTAGTTTGAAGTAGAAAATATAATGTTACTTGGTTTAGTTTGAAGTAGAGAATATAGTGTTACTTGGTTTAGTTTAAAATAAAACATATAATGTTACTTGGTTCCGTTTGAAGTAGAAAATATAATGTTACTTGGTTTAGTTTGAAGTAGAAAATATAATGTTACTTCGTTTAATTTGAAGTAGAGAATATAGTGTTACTTGGTTTAGTTTGAAATAAAACATATAATGTTACTTGGTTCCGTTTGAAGTAGAAAATATAATGTTACTTCGTTTAATTTGAAGTAGAGAATATAGTGTTACTTGGTTTAGTTTGAAATAAAACATATAATGTTACTTGGTTCCGTTTGAAGTAGAAAATATAATGTTACTTGGTTTAGTTTGAAGTAGAAAATATAATGTTACTTGGTTTAGTTTGAAGTAGAAAATATAATGTTACTTGGTTCAGTTTGAAATAGAACATATAATATTACTTGGTTGAGTTTGAAGTAGAAAATATAATGTTACTTCGTTTAATTTGAAGTAGAGAATATAGTGTTACTTGGTTTAGTTTGAAATAAAACATATAATGTTATTTGGTTCCGTTTGAAATAGAACATATAATATTACTTGGTTTAGTTTGAAGTAGAAAATATAATGTTACTTGGTTCTGTTTGAAGTAGAAAATGTAATGTTACTTAGTTTAATAAAATATTTTCAGGATATGCATATATACCCGTGTGTGTGTGTGTTGAAAATCATTCTGAAGATCCTAAGTTCAAAGTCATACTCTTGATCCCTAACTGAAATTATGCATTTCTAGCCTGGATGACACTCAAGAACTCATGTTTGTGATTAGATTTTATCGTACAAAAATTCGAATGTACCTATAGAAATTGTAATCTTTGTGTTTAATGTGTCTGTACAAATGTAATCTTTGTGTTGAATGTACCTGTACAAATTGTAATCTTTGTGTGTAATGTACCTGTACAAATGTAATCTTTGTGTTGAATGTACCTGTACAAATTGTAATCTTTGTATATAATGTACCTGTACAAATTGTAATCTTTGTTTATAATGTACCTGTACAAATTGTAATCTTTGTATATAATGTACCTGTACATATTGTAATCTTTGTGTGTAATGTACCTGTACAAATTGTAATCTTTGCATATAATGTACCTGTACAAATTGTAATCTTTGTGTGTAATGTACCTTCACAAATTGTAATCTTTGTGTGTAATGTACCTTCACAAATTGTAATCTTTGTGTGTAATGTACCTTCACAAATTGTAATCTTTGTGTGTAATGTACCTTCACAAATTGTAATCTTTGTGTGTATAATATTATAATATTCGTATACGGTATGCTAGTAGGCCTTATAACGTCCGTGAATGTCACAATCCAAAATCACTTGTTTTAGTAAAATAAGAAATCGATTATCAACTTTGTAAAAACTGGTGAGCACAAAATGTTGTTATTTGGAGAATGCGTCGTGTACCTTAAAAACGGGGCCTGTCGTGGAGGCGCTCGACTCACAATCGGCATAGTTAACATACGGGACATTCGATCAGTAAATGAAACTTTAGAATTTTTACTACTGCTAACTCTAAAACTGAACTTCTAATAAAAGAAACCTTATGATTAAGCATTTCCTTCCCTCTCTTAACAACATACAATCTTCTTACTACTTAAGGTTGTTCTAATTCTATTTTGTTAATTATATTTAACTCCGAATATCTGTTACTGTAATTACACTTGTTTTCGTTTCTATATATTACTGATGATGGATCGTATTTTGGTTTATAATAAATCACTTCTGTGCTGAGACGTTAGTCCTTTATCAATTTGTACACGAAGTTATATGCTGTTTACATACACTCGCATATTAAACTGAAACAAACGAAATTTAAAAAAAAAAAATTAGCATACCACTCTACCCAACTAAATTTTGTATATTCCAAATAGGTTTACAAGACAAAGCTCGTCTTTTTTACAGTTCTTATGGATGGATGGATGGTTGTTGATTAAGCAGAAACCTACACAAATGTTGTCGTTTAAGTACGATAGTTAATTTATAAATATATCACTATATACAAAGAAGAAATGTGTGTGTTTTTACACTCTAGCTCCTCCGAGCCTATTGGGCCTATCTCAACCACAATTTGTATGTAAACACTATAAACTATGGGGAATGTCCTAAGGGATCAAAATTGAACTTAATCCTATTTCTATTTTATAAAGCCTGTTGGTTAATTGCTCTCAGCCTATTGAGTTAATCTCAAACAATCTTGACAGGTTGACGCTTTAGACAATGTTGCATATTCAAAAAAGATTCAAGGCCAAAGTATGAAAGTTGCTGGATTGTTTCTTACGCAACCATGCTTTTCTCCTGGTCAATAAGATGTAGGGTGTTCAAGGGTGGGATCACCTCAAAATCTTTATTTGTTGGTAGATGGAAAGCAAACTACAAATTTTGTTTATTAAGAAGCTTTGTTATAATTTCAATTTTGAGATAAAGTTTATGTTCAAGTTATTACTTTGAAATATATGATTGCTGTTAAACTTACATTGTTTTAATTAAATTTAAATATTCCCCATCAGTTTCAACTTCTATATGATAAAATTAATTTGATACATTGATACCTAATAGTTAGTGAGCCGGTCTGTGAATCCGATGGAGCATGGCTCGCGTCCCACTGCAGGAAAATCGAGATCCGCACCTTAAAACAGCGGGTGCTTTATAAGAGTAACAGTCAAATCTCACTGTTCGATTAAAGTAGCACAAGAATTATCGATGGGTGCTGTTGACTAGCTACCTTCCATCTACTATAAAAGCTCAAAATTCTGAACGGTTAGCACAGATAAGTTAAACCAAGAAGAAGAAAATAGTGTTTCTGTTGTGATGACGCAGACTTTGTTGTTGTTTAACTAAAGAAATGCACAATAGAAGAAATAATAACAGTTACATCTTGATTTAATATTCTTTTTTACAGGACTTTGTTGTTGTTTAACTAAAGAAATGCACAATAGAAGAAATAATAACGGCTACATCTTGATTTAATATTCTTTTTTTACAGGAATATTAGTTTCTTGGTTAATTATGACAGCCTTTTAAGGCTAGTATGTTTACTTCATGTTTATACAAGTTTATTTGTTAGACTTATTTTTTTCGTAGCCCACGCAGTAAAAATGTAATAAAATGATTCCTTGTGGCCTAACTAGATAAACCCGGAAAGACCTTTCTATGTTTTATTCCAAATTTCAATTCCAATGATACTCGAATAGCGAATCAGAAGCTTATCTTCAAATATTTTAGAGGTTTAGTATATTGGTAGAACACAATGCTATCATTGAAATACGTCTATTGATGTAGAAATAGAAGAAAAAACATAAAGGAAAGGAAGGGAGACAAAAACGAGAACTTACGTCTCCCCTTTCAGCTCTATAAAGTTTGGATTTTCTTCTCTACATGTACTTCACTCTACCAACAAGTAACAACTGGATATTCCCATCATTTATTAGGACCATATGTAACAATTAGATATTCCCATCATTTATTAGGATCATATGTAACAATTAGATATTCCCACCATTTATTAGGACCTCATGTAACAACTAGATATGCCCACCATTTACTAAGACCATACGTAGCAACTAGATATTCCCACCACTTACTAATATCAAATGAACAATTAGATATTCCCACCATTTACTAGGACCATATGTAACAATTAGATATTCCCACCATTTATTAGGACCTCATGTAACAACTAGATATGCCCACCATTTACTAAGACCATACGTAGCAACTAGATATTCCCACCACTTACTAATATCAAATGAACAATTAGATATTCCCACCATTTACTAGGACCACATGTAACAACTAAATATTCCCAGCTTATGAAAAAAAATATTATTCTGGGTCGAAACATCTAACATCATAAGTTGGCGAAAGAGTTTGTTACTCTCATTTCCTAGAATTGTCAGTGTACCTCTTGAATTATTTGTAAATCATGTTATGGTAGTAGTATTATGGTATGAGTATTATATACACAGAAGATGTTTAATTTATTTTCAACAATAACAAACAACTACTCGAAGATTGGTATAAGACCTGTTGATTTATGGTATGAGTATTATATACACAGAAGATGTTTAATTTCTTTTCAACAATAACAAACAACTACTCGAAGATTGGTATAAGACCATTTTAATAGTATACATTAAAGTTTATAGTTTCCTTAAAGACTCCCAGTGTCTCAGTGGTCAAACTGAATGATGGGCACTGCACAAATAGCCCATTGTGTAGCTTCGTGCTTAACAACAAACTAAAACATAAAAGTTTCCTTAAAATACCAACCATGTTACACACTTATGTACCCACGTGGTAAGTATTGATAAAGTTGTATGAGTTGAGATACACGACAAGTTTTGTTTTATTTATGTAACTATGTATACCATCTTTTTTAATACATTTAAAATATTCTTAATTTGCTCTACTATCCCAATCTGTTAACAAGTTGCTAATTAAGCCTGAAGTGAGTTAAGCCTACCATAGCACACTTTCAATTTCTTTCTCTTTAAAAAGTTTGTATTGCACTACAGCAAACTCGAAAACTTGAGATTAAAATTTACGTTTATGTATCGTTTTTGGATGATTGATCAAGCACACTACCGAAATGTATTTTCACTTGTGAAAAGCTACTTTCAATTGGTTGTCAAGTGCTCTCTTTATCCGGCTTAAAACTGTTTGTGTTTCAGTAATGCGTTTCTTGTTTGTGATGAAAGCACTATAGAAAAGTTCCAAGTCGCTGTTATATGCATTACTGCTAATTATTTCGAAAGTCAAAATGATAATATTTTTCTTTTAGGATATTTTTCCTGGTCGAACAAGAACATGGGCCTTTATCACTTACTATTACACCCTGCTCAGCACCTGTACAGTGGAAACTATCGCTTCGTCACTACCCAGTAGCGGATAACCGTCAAGAGCAGGGTAAGTACAGTGGCAGACCAATATGTGTTTAGGAAATTGGATTAAATGTCGAGGAAATACCAGTGTGGTTCAGTGGTATTATCTTACTAGGGAATGTAGTTAAAATGGCAAGACAATTCTTGAATACCTGTGTACAGTGGCGGAGTAATTTTAGGAGTATTTAAGCACAGTGAATGAACAATGCTATATAAAGAACATAGTTACAGAACAATACTAAACAAATTTAAGTACTACTGCAAAACATAGAAAATACAGAAGTTTGAGTACATTATACTATAATGGTTCTAGGTATTCAAACCAGCAAGTCACGTAACAACCACAGCCGATGTAAAGCTGCAGTGTAAAGGCATGTATCAGAACTGCATTTTGGACATTATTTGCGTTTCTTAGGTATTACGATGCTACGGAAAATTTATCGCTTTTCGGAAGGATATGTAACAGCCCTTTCCGACACAAAATATTTATACAATCAGATTATAAAAATGTGTTCAGATCGGGGATTTAGAATTTCCATTATGGAGACATCTATTGTACTTAATTACTTTGATAAACAAAGGAATGTGGATCAACTTGGGGCACCAAGACCATCCAGAAGGAGACCTGCAATAAGTCGTATCCCAGCCGTAGTAAGCAAGGTGCGGCTTCTTGTAACAGATGTGAATCCATGAACATAAAGGTGAACTGGCAAAAGCAATTCACGTGCCCCAAACAACAGTAGGCAAAATAATGAAGAAGGTCTCTATCTGGAAAAGCAACACCAATCACATGAACACAAGCTGCTTCCACAATATATCTATTCAACTGTTGCATGTCTCAAGCAGCTTGAAAATGTAATTGGTATTCATGCTATTTCATACGAAGACACAACGATCGATTGGACAGACAAAGTACGAATAGAGTTCTCCTCTATTGGAAAGTTGAAATGAGCACTAGGAAATGGTCATCCTCGAAAACTATATGGCTTATGAATAGTAGGCAGGAAGAAGGATGTTCTTTAGACATGGCAGTCTTACGGCAGAACCTTTTTGCAATAGAAAGTATGCTGCAGTGCTATTTAAAAATTTCCTGTCGCCAGATAGAGCATGACCGGACGTGACAAGGTGTAAACAGTAACGACGAGGTGAAGCTCCAAAACGGTTTTAATATAAAGGGCTCAACCTCTGTAGTTTGAGTGTTGTGGCTGAACGATCCTATAGAGAACTTGAGTTACAATAACAGAATAATACTACGGAACATTTCAAAATACGATAACTGGACGATACTACAGAATATTTGGATACAACACGTGAACAATGCTACAGAGTATTTGGACACAACACGTGAACAATACTACAGAATATTTGGACACAACACGTGAACAATACTACAGAATATTTGGATACAACACATGAACAATACTACAGAATATTTGAATACAACACGTGAACAATGCTACACAATATTTGAATACAACACGTTAACAATACTACAGAATATTTGAATACAACACGTGAATAACACTACAGAATATTTGGATACAACACGTGAACAATACTACAGAATATTTGGATACAACACGTGAACAATACTACAGAATATTTTGATACAACACGTGAACAATGCTACAAAGTATTTGGACACAACGAGTGAACTATAAAATAGAATATTTTAATACAGTGACTAAACAATACTACGGGATATTTGAGTTCAGTAAAAGAACTGCAGAGTATTTCAATACAACGAGTGAATGGCAGTACAGAGTAAATGTTACTACAGAATATTTGGACACAACAAATGAACGACACTACATAGTATTTGAATATAACAAGTGAACTATATTATTTGAATACACTGACAGAAGGCCCGGTATGGCCAGGTGGTTAGGGCACTCAACTTGCAATCTCCGGGTCGCGGGTTCGAATCCCCGTCACACCAAACATGCTTGCCCCTTTCAGCCATGGGAACATTATAATGTGACGGTCAATCCCACTATTCGTTGGTAAAAGAGTAGCCAAAGAGTTGGCGGTGGGTGGTGATGACTAGCTGCCTTCCCTCTAGTCTTACATTACTAAATTAGGGACGGCTAGCGCAGATAGCAGATATCCCTCGTGTAGCTTTGCGCGAAATTCAAAACAAACAAACAAACAGTGATAGAACAATACTACAAAATACTACTGAACAATAATACAGAGTTTTTGAGAATAGTGACAAAACAATAACAGTTTTTATGTCACTGATGTCCTTAGGTGTAGACAAAAAAAAACGAAAACAGCAAACAAGTTGTGATGTCTTATTTGCAATTTCATTATCTGCCAATTTAAATATCCATAAATGTTCGTGACTAGACAAACTAGATTTGAAATGTGTGCCATATAGTAATCGAATTGACCAGTAATAACATATATAACAATTTTACTCAGCACAAAGTAGAAGGGAAAAAAAGCATAATTAACAATGATAATTAATATTTAAGTATACTGAAAGTAATAAATATTTCATAGGTGTTATCTATACATCAGTAAAAATAATTGTAGAAACACATACAAAGGAGTCACGAGGAACAATAATCTCAACTAGTAAGTGAAAAAAAAAATAATTTGTATAGAGTACTAGTATTTTATATGTGAGCCTTTTGTTGCACACAGTGTATTACACTTTTCTTCCTGCCACCCTACGGTTTGTCCATGTAACATTGTGCAATATTATTTCAAATGTCTTATATAACTCCCCACAATTCAGCCAAGTTATCTGGTTCCCCCTTGACATTCTCTGACTTTACACTTTCAAGAATGTGTACATCAGTACTTTGTGCTCGTCAAGCCATAGTTGTCAATGTTCCATCAGCATCTTTGCCACCAAGATATCGTTTCACCACATTTGTTGTATGAGTCGTGTTCCTGAATAAATAGTATGATGGATCAGTATTTGAATGTACTTATCAGAATTCAGAATGCTGTCAGTTTTGAGCAAATCATCGACCTCAATGGCTGATATGCAGACTCAAACTTGTACTTACGTTACCCCCACCACTACCACCATACACCACATTGATTATGATGCCGGTCTCCTTTCTTCCGTGGAACAAACTATCGTTGGTTGTTGCCGAACAATTAAAAATTGAATTCATCTGTAAAGAGCCCTTTTCCAGCTTTATTCGTTCTACTGTGTATAAACCAATGCCCATTTCAAATTTTGATTTGCTGTTTTCGAGCAGCTACACAAAATTAAGGCCACTTCGTGCTTGTTGGAAAGATCTCTATTTGACCATCACCTATCTCGTGAAAAACACACCCCTAGACACTTAACATCACTTTTGGAAAGTTTCAGTTTTATACTACAACAATTTATATTAGCAACATTGCCAGTTTCACGTTACCTCTCCAAGATTCTTGCCTTCAGCTGTTATTAAAACATGGAGTCTTGTCGCAATTCCAGCCAAACTTTACATGTATACTTATCACACAGTATTTTCGTCCTGAGAACAGATACTATTACTAATTAATTGGCATAGTATGATTGTTGGCAATTTTATACGCTTTATATCGATCTAGTAGTTTATGTTTGTTGAATGACAACCAATCACAGTGTAAGATAATAAATAACATGTGACTATATTCTGGCGCAGTTCATTTTCAAAGGAAAAAGATAAGACACTTCCCAAGTATTTGTCTTTTATAACCTTTTCACTCACTGTTTCCATATTTATTTCTAATACCATTGGTTGTTGCCGAATAATTAGAACTTGAATTCATCCGTAGAGAGCACTTTTCCAACTTTGTTCGTTCCACTGTACACTGAGCATTACATCGTTTTCCTTCATGCTGCCCTACAGATTGCTTCAAATGTCTTATATAACTCCCCACAGTACAGTCATGTTTTGAAGCTCCAGTTAGTTCTAGGCCATGAAACGGTAGAGCTTGTACAAGTTTCGTCCTAATAAGAATATCCTTAACACTCAACATACTTATTGTGTTAATACAAAATATTGATTACAAGGCCAGCTCCCATACCTTAAATCGTTTTCATTTCTAGTTAAACCATAAGCCACATTCCTGTGCCACGTAGTATGTAAGTACATATACACATATATGCATTATTTACATTTACGAAATTTAAGTACAGCGTAAATAATTTTGCCTTAAAAAAATATGCAATTAAGATAAATAGGTAGCAGAAAATATTTTTATCTCTTGAGTTTGCTAGTGTAAAAACATTAATCCAACATTTAGCAACAGTAAGCGCAGATAGATAGGGGCGATAAAGACAAGTAAAAGTAGTTGTAAAGTGAAACACCCGAGTTGAAGGTTTGGTCCAATACTTCCCATTACGAACCTTGAACGTAGTAGAACCATCTAAAAAAGATAAATAACAAGGAATATACAATTAGAAGGAATAGAAATTACATTTGTTATGCTGGATTATTATAAAAAGAAAATATACTTAAAATGATTAGATCTCAAAAACTACTTGTCTTTGGGGAACAAACATTCACCAAAGGCACATTACGAATCATAAATTTTATTTGACAAAGTTTGGACACGATACAGTATATTTTAGTTATATGACATTGCTTTTACTTATGGTCGGACATGTTCTAATGGTTATCGAGCCGGACTGTGGATCCGAGGGTCCATGGTTTGCGTCCCGTTGTAGCAAATAAAAAAAATCGCTCTCTGCACTCTTTGAGACCATGGGTATGTTATAAGAGTGATGGCCAAATCCCACTTTTCGATTAGAGTAGCCCAAAAGCTGACGATGGGTGCTGTTCTCTAGCTATCTTCTCTTTAGTCGATCACTTCAACATTATGGATGGCTGGCGCTGATAGCCCTCATATTCCTTTGTGAGAAATCCAACCAAACAAACAAACAAACGAATAAATATCTTCTTTATTTCTTAATTTTTCAACATTACAAGATTGGGGAGGGGGGGTCAGTGTGCAGGATATTCTAACAGTGAAAACTATCCAGAACATACGATACTTACAACAGCTTCGTTTAGAGATAAGTTTAATTGATATTTTGTTTGAGGGTGACGGAAAGCATGATGAACACGTTCTGTGGCAGGTGTTAAAACACCTGATACCATAGCCAGAATCTTCTGGATAAAACTTATGATCCTCAATATACCTCTGTTGCAGTTCCCCTAGTAAAATCAGTTCTTAAAATCCACTCATTTTAAACGTGGTGTTTTCGTTATAATTACTCCGAAAGTATGAAACCCTGCTATATATGTAAAAATATATAACTCATGTAAATGATCACATTAGTCCCGCTTTCACAGTACCAACGAAGTTAAAAACATTAATTTTATTTATCTTATGCTTAAATTATTTTTGGTTATTAACAGAAGTTAACTGTTCAAATGAGCCGACATGGTTTACCATATAAGAGCTTGATAACACAGACAAAGTATGAGTCATTTGTAGCTAATACGATATCATATATTTACTGACTTAAACAAGAAGAAAAGAGAAAAACCGTTTCTAGGACACGTCTAAACACTTTCTGCTTTGTCTTTATTCTTAAAATTTGCTTTACTGAATAATCAAATTGAATGTACATGTACACTGGCGAAATTACTTTTGGTTTTCTAAATTTGGTGACTGGTTAAAATGCTCTGTGCCTTCATCCAGACTTTCTCTGTAACAACTCTAATATTGATCAATAATAGCTGTTCCGTTGTTATCGCCAAAATGGTGTTTTCCAAATTCGAACGTAATTGGCCCAGCATGGCCAGGTGGTTACAACACTCGACTCGCAATCTGAAGGTTGCGGGTTCGAATCCCCGTCACACCAAACATGCTCGCCCTTTCAGCCGTGGGGGCGTTATAATGTGACGGTCAATCCCACTATTCGTTGGTAAAAGAGTAGCCCAAGAGTTGGCGGTGGGTGGTGATGACTAGCTGCCTTCCCTCTAGTCTTACACTGCTAAATTAGGGACGGCTAGCGCAGATAGCCCTCGTGTAGCTTTGCGTGAAATTAAAAACAAACAAACAAACAAATTCCTATTGACAGAAACAATTTGTGAAAGTCTGTTTAGTATCTCTTCAAAACTGTGACAGATAAATAACATTCTGTACGTATCAACTGATCTGGTTTATTACTTGCAGCCGTCATAATATTTATGATTTGTATTTCAGAAAAGCCTAGAAAGACGAAGATTAGAGAAGTTGCGCCCACGCTAACAACACCTTGGTTTCTTGTGAAAGTATTTGGAAGACTTTCAAATGAGCCGGGTTTCGTTTGTAAATGAGCGTCAGGGGACTAACGTGATATGCCATAAAACCGGAGAGTTCGTTTTAAAAAATCCTCGAGAAGGAGACAGAAACGTTTATTTTTATAATACGCTATTCAAAAACTAACGCGTGCTAGCGATTCTTTTCTCTTTACTTTGCCAAGTCGTGGTATGTGAACAGTGTGACTCTCCGATTTCACGTGTATTCAAATGGTTAAACTGAAGAAATCTACACTATAATAAAGAGAACATTCTTAGCATTCAAGTTAGAAAATTTGAGCTTCAAATGATACTCTTCAGTGACACAGACAATAATCCGTGACTCTCAAATTACTTAATGTTCTCACAACACTTTTTCATAACAGCTTCGTATATCTTGATGTTCAGTGAAAAATTTAACGTATACGTCATTCACCATGTGCACTATAACAGAACAGTTCGATTTTAATGGACAGGTGGGTTTGATCTTTCGTCGAAGATAGTGGCTCCGCCTAGTGTTAGAATTTTAATGAAAAATTCCTTTTTGATTCGTATTTTATTTAAATAATGAGGCAGGAAGATCCGCTGGTGATAGTGTAATCTTTCCTGGTAGATTTTTTTTCAATTAAAGGAAACTTAAAAAAATATTCATGATAAATTTTAATATTGGTGAGAAAACTATATGCCGGAAGTATAAAAACTGTCCTTGCCGTAGTTAATCTTTAATGTGTATTGAAACTGAAAAACTCCATCACGTAAAATGATTTTGTGTGTATGATACATGTTTGTAGAGTCAGAAGTTTAGTAAAACTATACGGATTTTTATATATCAATAAAATGAGCTGTTTATCAGTTGATTTTGTGGAAAGTTACTTTACATCATGGTCAGGTAGTTAGTGTGCTGGACTCACAATCTGAGGGTTGTGGGTTTGAATTCCCGTCCCACCAAACATGCTCGCCCTTGCAGCGGTGAGGGCGTTATTATGTGATGGTCAATCCCGCTATTCATTGGTAAAAGAATATCCCAATAGTGGTGATGACAAGCTTCATTACCTACCTCCTTGAAATCTTGGTTTCAAAGAATGAGAGAGCTTCTTAACATTTTATAATGGCTGAGAAAACCACTAGGGGGACATTCCAAGTTGTCAATTGGTTATTCACAAGTCATATATTGATAAAAGTGTATATAAGGGACCGTTTCCAAAAATGAAAAGAGGTGAGCTGGGCTGCTGTGTTTGATTCAGTACCTAAGCAATATCTTAGCAAAAAGAAAAGATAGGAAGTTCGTATTTTATATCAGCTTGTCAATCTGAGTTCCTAATTCCTTGGGACTATAGACGTAGTATTTTGACACCATAAACACCTAATTTGAGGCAGTGCTGCACTTAACATACCATGTAACACACAAAAATCGATGTTTAACTGTGTTTATTTCATATTTGCTTTTAAATTAATAAATTCAGTAATATATAGTACTAGAAATTGAATTATAATCTACAGTTTGTTATCAAACATATTGACATAAATTCATGAAATATTAGTTCAATAAAATTTTGAATGCGAGTAAACAAACGCGATGACATGGACTTTGGCAAGTAACACCACTCAGTACATGCACGCACAGATGTGTATTTGTGTAAAAGCACGAGCAGGTGCTAATATGTGTTCTCAGGGACTTATTTTGGCATGTGAGCGTGTAGGTACCTATTTTCGTACATGCGTGGCAGGTGCCCATTTTCGTACATGCGCCCGCAGGTGCCCATTTTCGTACATGCGCGCGCAGTTGTCCATTTTCGTACATGCGCGCGCATGTGTCCATTTTCGTGCATGCGCGCGCAGGTGCCCATTTTCGTACATGCGCGCGCAGGTGCGCAATTTGGTACATGCGCGCGCAGGTGTCCGTTTCCGTACATGCGCGCGCAGTTGTCCATTTTCGTACATGCGCGCGCAGGTGCCCGTTTTCGTACATGCGCGCGCATGTGTCCATTTTCGTGCATGCGCGCGCAGGTATTCATTTGCGTG